AGCCACTGACTGGTCTGACCAACGTACATTCCATCACAACCCTAGCATGGGTAAATGCAAAACACAGTAAATCAAGTTGGATCTAAAATTATCATCTGTCCTATCCTTAAGTTTAGTAAAATGGTTTCCTAATTTGTTATCATAACAATCAATGGTCTTTATGTTATCAATACATTTCAACGTTTTCTTTAACTGGTCGCTTAACCTTCCTATGTATGGAAGCTTTCTGTACGTGAAGCGTTCTGTATTAATTAAAACTGGATTAGTTAAACTGATCTGGTTGATATTATTATGTGAATATGTTGAAAACAAAAGTCTGTTGACCAATTTTAGAGGATAACCATTATTCACAAAATTTGTTCTCAAGAAGTTAAGATTTTCTTGTAAAAACTGATCATCACAAATAGTCGAAACTCTATGCTTCATGCCGAGAATGGTGGAAATTTTATGTTTTAAACTGTGACTAGAAAAATAATTCAATCGTGTTCTCACTCCAAAAACGGGTTTTCCCTTTTTACATTTGACAGTCGTGCATTTTGCATCTATTTGTTCCACGTTTTATTAATAACTTTTTGATATTTCATTTTTCAATTTTAATTTGTTTTTTGAATTTTAAATTTTAATAATGTTTTTGATCAATTCATTTTTGACGATTTCCGAGATTTTACGTCACTTCGAGTTACAAGTAAGTTACATTTTTGTTTCTTAAAATATGGTGGCTTGACTTACGTTTTTTCTTTGTAATATCTTTTAGCAATAAAATGCTCTGAAGAAGATTGTAATTTTAACAATCGAAATATTAGCGATTTTAAAAAGTTGTTTTACTTTTAATTCCTGTTGACCGAAAATCCGAATAAAATTTTTTCTATAAAATATTCAGTCACTACTATACCAGATTTTCCATTTGATTCAAGATTTGAAAATTGATTCAAACGCATCAGCTTTACATATTTTCATTATTATTTTTCTTCTGTTTCATTGAATTATACTAGAAAATGCTAATGATTGATACTAATGATTATTATTGAAAACATTTATGTAGAAAATCGATATTGATTGCATGAAGTTGTTCCGATTCTTCACCTTGCAGAAAGTTTTTTTTCCGACTAAACTTTCTGGAATTTTGCCGGTGAACAGGCATATCTTTGCAGATGACCAATTTACACCAGCTGATGTTTTGCAAGCTTCTGAAATCCCGGTTAATACTTCTAGTGGTTGTAACCATAAAGATAATAATGCACCTGAAGACAAACAAGATTTCCCTGTGGAAATATTACCATTAGCAAAAAAAAATCCACACCTAAACGACCCATCGACTCCTCGTAGTGCAACAATAGCCATAAAAGCAGTGGTACTAATTGTGCAGTGCATATATCTGATTTAGTACAAAAATTAAAGAAAAAATCACCAAATTTTGGCAAAAATAAGAAGCGCTTCTTCATTTTTACTAAAAATTCCTATGTACCTTCCACAGGAGGACAATAATTTAATAATGAAACTGATTAACCATTTTTTTCAAGAGCCATTATGTATACACGGACCTATACTACTGGAGAAGGTTTTCTTAAGTAGACTTCAGAATAAACTCCATGAAAAAGTTAATGTCAGATTACTAGTTCGGCTTTTGATATCAATATGGCACTAAGGAACAGATCCATAAAGCCATAAGAATTGAAAGAGATGCACTGGAGAACATAAAGTACACACTGCCGCCTTTTTCGAAGCTTCTCTATCTATTGTTTTCATACCAAAAAAATAGATTTTTGTAATTATAGCTGCAAACTCTGACATAAATTGGAAAACAAAAATTTATAAAATTTTTTTAATCATGCTTTATATCTTGCTTTGTAACTCAATTAATATGCACAACAAAGAATGAATTTTTATTTAAATTCTTTATCAAATATTTATTTCTATATAAGCGATATGCTGAAATGATTTATCTTAAAAAAAAGTCAAATGAAATAAATTTTTGCGAAAGAGAACCACAAAAGCGACGAAGGAAACCTTTTTCTGTATTGAAATCCCTTTATAGGTTTCGATTTTAACGATAAATAGCCTGAATTAATAGCTTACACGTGTTCAATTCTGTCGAGTTAATCATAAAATCGATTAAGTTCCTGCTAGAAACGAATTAGAACACTTAAACCGTTCCGTAAACACTTTAAACCGTTCCGAACGTAACAGAAAAACCTCGTACAACCACGTGACTTGGTACCGCGAGGTCAAGTAGGGAATCGGTCAACATATTTACATTTTTTATTAAGAGATTATGGTGTATGTGTAGATTTATTTATAAATATTTGATGAAGATTTGTATTACAGATGACACACTAATTAATTAAGTCGAGTGGTTATCGTCAATTTGTTAATGGGAAAATTTGTGATAATTAACGTTCCCTTTTTAAGACTAGCAGATGATTAATTGATGATCTTGAGTTTCTTATTTATATTTGGCAATGAAAAAATGTTGGCCTTTAATCACGCCTCAAAATAGCTTTGAACCGGTTCTAAGCTTCGATAAAGTGTGGAGGAAAGCTCTACTATCCGTCCCAAAAGTCAAGACCCTTCATTTTAGAGATCTATATCTTCGCGACCGCTTAAAAAAAATGTGGTAAGGTTTGTTGTAATCACTGAACATTTCTACGTAACATATATGAATTTGAAAATCTTCTGTTCCGCGGCTTTCTTTTTGCGTTCCAGACAGGATGTCGCGCCTTTATTTTACCTGCATAAAGAAATAAAGGCGCGACGTCTTGTCTGGAAGCCCTCTATCTCGGTATGACTAAATTAAAATCGATACGTTCAAATATGTTCAAATTCAAATTCAGATATGTTACGTAGAAATGTTCAGTTCAATAAAATTCTTAACCGAATGTCTACTTTACTTTACTATAAATAACTTGTAATTATTTATATTAACTAGGACGAGAATAGGCATTGTAATATATTCGTGAATAAATTAGAATTGAATTAAAATTAAGAGTTGAATTCACCAACTCATAAATATTAATAATTATTTATGAAGTTCACTCATATTATTGATATTTACTTTTAAAATAATACTAAATTAAATTATTCATGTAATTTTTTTAACACATAACTGTTGAAAATGTTGTAAAATTTTTTTCTCAACAACGTATTTCAATATTGTGTTATTTATAACCTGACGAGAGAACATCTATGGACTTTTCCTCCTAAATATATTTTTATTTTCATAGACCGATAAAAATAGGTTCAGGCGAGGTCATCCACGTGGGTTAACGTGCGAAAACACATATTTCTTTCTCCCAAGAGAAATCAATAAGATACATCGTATCCGACAAATAGGGATCCGAACTTAACAACCAAGAAAATGGGGCGTTGGATATTATATAATAAATGGTGGACGTGCCGGTAAATTACCAATAACCAGAACTTATATTCAATTTAACTTTACGTACATAACAAAATTTAATTTAAAAACTTACACTGTATCTTTTTACAACATAAAATCCAAGAGTTTTGATGGAGCTATAAAGATATAATATGAAATGACAATTTCTAGTTTGGAGGCATTAAATTTCTCTGGTGTAATATTAAAAATAAAAATTAGAAAGTATAACAAACTTTTAGTATTCCATATTTTTTGTTTATAGATTCTTACGTAACATTAACGGTTGTTTCCACACCAATTACGCGCATTCCAGCTTACTAGCTCAAAACAAACGATCAACAATGTATAATACTTTTTTGAATTTTTAATTAAGCGAAGAAGTTATAACGTACAGGACAACATATTTGCATTAAAGAAAAATCTACTTTAGAGTTGCTGGACTTATTGTTAGAGTGTGAGAAGGATAGAAGACAAAATGATAAAAGTTATTGTAGAAACAGCAGAAATGTACAATCGGAAAACTTCATTACCAGAGAAGGCTTGAGATAAGGAGGAGCTTTGAATCCGGTCCTGTTTACGATGTTAATGGATGATATAATGAGGGAATGTCACAAAGGAACAAGCAATGGTCTAAGGTTGGGTTATAGAAATTTAAGAACAATAGTGATTTAGGAATGTACATTTGCGGATGACATTGTTATAATTACAGGAAATAAACACAACATTAATTATAGCCTGCCATATCCATAAATATGATGGACATGTTATTAAAAATCGTTGAACTATCGACTACAACCAAGGGTACAATTACGGAATTAGTTTTTGCAACAAAAATTATTGGTAGCCATTTTTGAATTTAATTTTTACTTCCTTGTTTGTTGTTTTCTATAATCTATAATTGTCTATTTAGTAATTCTAGTCTCAAGTTCTCCTTCCAGTTAGAATGATCCTGCTCCTGATGTGTTGACATTTGGAAAAAGAACTACTTTGTTATTTCCAATTTTAAAATGTCCTGAAATCGATCTTTGAAATCACTGTAAAGGTTCTCCAAATATTGGCACTATATATCGTTTAAAGATAAATTAATAAAAATTAAATCTTAAGGTGCTCCACCAAAAGGTACTACACCTATATATTTACTAAGAACAAATTTCATTCAATAAAAATTTAATCTAATTGATTGATTGATAAATATAATTTACCAACGACTTTCTCTACCTCCCCTTTCCTTCCCATAAGCGTTGATTTTAAAGCAACTAAAATACTCAAAATAAAATTATTAATCTAAGCAACGCTTTTAATACTCCAAAAACTAATTAGCCATCTAATACATTAATATTTTTGTGTTTTTTATTTTTAATTATTAATTATTTAATTATTTATTTAATTATTACACTTTAATTTCATTTATTTTTTATCAATAAAACACACAGCACATTCATTTAAAATTTTCCACCACTCATCACACTTATCAATGTTTTTAATATCTTCTTCCAAATTCGGCCAAACCATACCTTTAATTAACATTCTATTCTGCAATCTACATCTTTCTTCAAAATTATTTTTGCATCTAAATAAAACATGCATGGAAATTCCTCTTTCAACACCAATTTTCCAATTCTACTCAAACTACTAAATACTCCTCAAAATTGCCATGACCAGTAATTAACTCTACAGTTTCGGTTTTTAAAAATCTATCTACCCTACCAACTCTAGATATAAACTGATAAGTCAACCTCCCAGTCACTGAGTTATCCCATCTATCTTGCCATTTTTTCAACATAAATTTAATAATCCTATTTTTCACTGATCTCTTAGAAAGCACATTTAAATCAATTTGTAAATCTTCACAGATCGAAGCTTCTTTAGCTAACTGATCAGCTCTTTCATTACCCTTGATTCCAGAGTGACCCTTAATCCAAAAGAAATCAATATTACTACCTGAATCTTTAATCAAATTCCATGTATCCTTTTGCAAAATAGATGGTTTCCTCATGTTCTTTAGGCATTTTAAAACTGAAATACTATCATTATATAATTCACACTTATCTAACTTTTCTTTAATAACATATTTAATTGCACTATTCACTGCCAATAATTCCGCATAATAGTTATCACATAACGCACCTAATTTAATTTTTTCAAAATAAACTTCAACACCATCACAAAAAACAACAAACGCAGCACCAACACTATCCTTACTCTTAGCACCATCCGTAAATAATTGGATTCCTTTATTCAAAACAATTTTTCTTGACTTAAAATCCATAATATCCCGCTTCGCAGGATGAACATCCGTTAAGAATTTAGCTTCCTTCTCTATCTTATCATGGTTAATATCTACTCCAGTAAATAACCGTAGATCCTGATCATTTAAATTATAGAAATTTTGCCAAAGTGCAATTTCTTTAAATCTCAAATCTGCTGGTAAAAGCCCTGATAATACACCAAAAGCATCATTCGACAATGTGCTAAATGCCCTAGCGGCTTTCAAGCCTAACACTCTTTGGACACTAATTAATTTGTTCCTACTTTTAACGTAAGCAAGCAAGTCATATCATGCTGCTTATAAATTAGGAAAATTATAAAACTCACATCTGCCAATTTTTTTTTATGTGAGAGCAGTTTGGCTACAAAAGCAACATCGACATTCTTTAATTTAATCAAGTTCAAGTTGACATATTGAAATTGGAGATTGATATCATTAAACAATTTATACAGGTCTATCAAGTACGCAATATTACTCTTTGATGTGATGAGGTTGTCGTACAATTCTGTGTCTTTGTTTTACAACAAGTCTATCATAGAGTTAATAGCCAATTTAAAATTTAAAGAGTTGTTTCTGATTTTATTGACTGTTTTGATGAGATGTTGCAGTGATTGAGACAGACCGTTCACTCAAATTTCTCGCAACCAAAGGTTGTCTATAAATAACGTTGTAGCAAAGAAATTGGGCTGGGATAAGAACAGAGCAGGAATGTAAGTTTTGATTTTAGTTTTTAATTAGCCAATTCCCCCTTGTATGCCTCTAGCGCCCATAAGGGGGCGTTATCGCCCACTTTGAAAAACGGTAATTTAGAGGATCCACAGAAATATACAAAAAATACACTGTTATTGAAGCGCTATCGTTTAAATTTGCACTTATAACTTAAGTTGACATGAAACGAAGTTTTCAAACAAATTTTCATATTTGACAATTTAAGGAAGATATTTGTCATTTATTGTAATCAAAATTTAAGTTAAATCTGGTTATTTTATTTTTTATTTCTCTTCTGTATTTTCCTCGATATGTTCTATTTCTCTTCTGCTTTTTATAAGTCGAACTAATAAATATTTCGTGTATATATATAAATAGAAAAACATTTTTAATTTACTTTATTTAACCTCACCTACAGATTTAAAGAACATGTATATTTTTAAACTTAATTTTCATCTTTGATAGAGCATATTTTCATACTTAACCAGATTTTGATTTTTATATAGCATTTTTAAAGCGCTTAATTTAATATTTTTGGGGCATATCTTTGGTTGCCTTACTTATTGGATATATTTTAAACAGAAATACAGGTATTTGACTTATAGAGAGAATTATAGTTACCTTTGAAATATTTCTTTTTCCTTTCATTCATGGTGATGTCAGATAGATCTATAGCGATTTCCTTCTTATAAAGAAATTCAAGTAGCAAACAAGAAGTGCATTTCTGAAACAATGGCAAAGGTGAAGTTGTAAGGACTATCCGATCAGACGATAAAACGTATTTTTGAAATAGAAGATATGTGCTTTCTTTCAAAGTGGGGATTTGATGGATAGCCTCAAGCACAATATAAATAAAAAAATTTAACAAACCCGAAAGCATCAGATGCCAATTTGGTTCCAATTTGCACACGAAACAACAAATTTCATTAAATCGGAGAAGGAATAATCTAAATCCTAGAAAAATCATATTAATCAGATAAGTGTTGTAAGTCATCGATTATAGACACGACATCTATACAACACTGTTATATTTATTTATATACTGTTATATTTTATTATATTCTGTCTATTATATTTATTATATCTTATATATTTTATTTGATAGACATCAAACGATTTTTAATTTTTAGTATTGAAGACTAATAAACGCGCAGTAAACAAAGATTATTTCGAATTCGGATATCAACAGTGTACAGGGTGTCCAAATTTCGATGGGTTTGCAGGGTATCTCAGTTATTATGAAAGGTAGAATGTTGCGGCTTTCGCGAACCTGAGCTACTTTTTTGTGAAACTTACAATGGCGCAAACCAAATTTTCATAGCCCTTTTCGTTTTTGATATACAGGGAGAGTTTCAAAATTTACGATTTTCAGACACCCCTGTATGTCGGCTATCCGGAAACGTAAAAATGGGTTCTAATAGATTTTTTCACGTAGAATCCAATGGTGCACGTAGAATTTTTCTAGTCATCAAGGTTTTTGAGTTATAAAGAGTTAGGTATTTTAGAAGTTGAGTATTCAGTTTCACATTTGAGTTGTGTTTATAACTCAAAAACCGTGATGACTAGAAAAATTCTACGTGCACCATTGGATTCCACGTGAAAAAATCTATTAGAACCTGTTTTTACTTTTTTACTAAGTTTCCGGATAGCCGAGATACAGGAGGTGTCTGAAAGTCGTAAATTTCAAACACTCCCTGTATATCAAAAACGAAGAGGACTATGAAAATTTGGTTTGCGCCATTGTAAGTTTCACAAAAAAGTAGCTCAGGTTCGCGAAAGCGGCAACTTTCTATCTTTCATAATAACTGAGATACCCTGCAAACCCATCGAAATTTGGACACCCTGTACGCTTGGATTCGATTTTTTACAAACATTGTTGTTAAAACCAAAAATTCAAGAAAGATTGAAGCAAGAACTCGGTTTTATTGCCAATAAACCTAACCAAATGTATAGAAGCACGAATGATGGCAAAACCATATATTTTATTTTGAATAAAAACCGTTTTTAGTTGTCATTGGTTTATTATTAATCCAATTTAAACCCATTCGCCCAAAAAACCATGAAAATAAAACTTTGTTCCTCCTTTTCCCTTGTTTAGCCCTATTGCATGGCTTGCTTTGTATGATTACTTCTAAAAGGGAGAGCTATTTGAAGTTTTCGTTTAGGCTTTCAATGAATAACTGTTGTCAGCTGAAAAAAGGAAATTTAATAACGCTCTTGAATTATGTATTTACGTACTATCCATCACCTGTACTATTCTAATTTGCCTCATGAATATCGAAAAACCAAGAAAACAAATATGAAACAATTTTGTTACAATTATGTATCTCATTTACATTTTATTTGCAAATTAATAAAATAAATAATATTACAATACACTAGGTTATAGCCCAAATACATCTCTTACAAACACAAAAGGTAAATGAGTAAATGTTATCCATTTTTATCACTTATTAATATTTAAATAAATAGAAACAATTGTACTTAGTGATAATATTATTTATTCGATCTTTACCGGTTTCGGCTCACATTAAAGAGCCATCCTCAGAAGATATCTCCTTAAAATATTACAATAAAATTAACAATCAGCAGTCATCACTACTAATAATTGAAGAAATCACAAACGAAAAGATGGACGATACTGTAGATTCCGATAATTTCATCAAATTATTCAAACTATGCACTGAACAAAACTTTTGCCGTTTCAATGAAAAAATTTTTGAATTCACGGAAGGTTTACCTATGAGTTCACCGTTAAGTGGACTCATCTCCGATATATTCTTGAATAAATTGGAGAACGAATTTATAATTAACAATAATAATCCATAGAAGGGAAGGGTAACATCTTATTCTGGATTAGATATGTCGATGATGTATTCGCCATTATCGATAATGAGGATAATATACATAATCTACATGCATATATTAATACAATACATAATAATATAAAATTTACGTTAGAAACAGAGAAAGAAAATAAACTTAACTTCTCTACATGAAAAATGGCAAAAAACAAACAAACTACAAAAAATGGCGTCTCTACATTCATATATACATAGAGCATGCAATTCACAACTCGATACTGATAAACTCAATAAGGAAATTAGTATTATTACACAAATAGCCAAATAATGAATTTAAAGTAGACATAATAAAAAAATTAATCAACAGAAAACAAAACAAAATAAATTTAAGTAATATAACTGCACTTACTGATCCTAAAAATAATGACTCAGAGAACAATACTGGTAAATATAGGGCCATATCTTATCCCGGAAACATGGCAAGTAGTTTGAAGCGAATCTTCAGGGAATATAATATAACATTGACATTTAAAACAAAAAACTCAATCAGAAACATTTTGAACAATGCAAAAAACCAAATTAGTATACTAGATAATAATGGCATTTACAAAATAGACTGCGACACCTGTGGCGCAACGTATATAGGGGAAACAGGGAGAAGCTTAAGAACAAGGATTCACGAACATATAACTAGATCTAACTCAGTTTTTAATAAACATCTAAACTATAGTAACCATCAGTTCGACATCAACAAAAATACTAAGTTACTACATGGAATGAATAAAAGTTATAAAATGGAGATAGCAGAAATGTACGAAATTCAGAAATTCATAAAGAATAACCCTAACAGACTTATTCTAAATGAACAAACTACTCCAATTTTTCCACACCTATACGAAACTTTAAAAAATCCATTTAGTCCCTACCGATAATTTCTCCCGAAGCGTACTTTACTATACCGTTTTTGGTTTTCCAATTTCAACATATACTAATACATAAATTATCCGTTTCTTGTTTTTATCTTTGATCTGACTTGTATACAATGTGTTTACAATGTTACAGATTTCTGTATAGACTTTGATTTTTTAACTTGTTTTTGACAAACACGTTGTTATTGTCGACTTTGTTGTGTGTTTTAACTGTGAACGTAATTTCTGTGACGTTTATTATACAAGAAATTTTAATCTGCTGACATATGCGAATTTTATCAAGATTTTATCAATTACCATTTAATTATTTTCCATACTGACGTAAGTAAAACCACAACCTCCACTCTACTGATTGTTAATTTTATTGTAATATTTTAAGGAGATATCTTCTGAGGATGGCTCTTTAATGTGAGCCGAAATTGGTAAAGATCGAATAAATAATATTATCACTAAGTACAATTGTTTGTATTTATTTAAAATAAAAAACAAAAGGTAAAGGTATCATAAGTTATGATTCATAACACTTGTAATTTCTTTTGGTTTAGGAAGTATTAGTGTG